TGAATGAATAAATKCATGCAAAGGAAACCTTACCCAGAAGACTGGAGATCCCAAGATCTGGGTTCAAAAGGACAACCTAGTTGTATGAATGAGGGAGGTCACTGTGGGGGAGTATAAACTTCCTAGTTCATTCCTGTAATTAGTGACAAGTGAGGCTAAGCGTATGGCTTTTAATGATTATTTAGAATCACCTATGTGAGAGAGAAGTGGGGTCGCTTTGAAGGGAATTTTGGGGGGGCGCAATTCCTAAGAGCTCTTGCAGAACCAGGCTAGTGTTCATGACCATAACGAACACGACTATGAGGATTTGACCGTGTCAGGAATAGTCCTGTGTGAATTATGTTGTCGTCTACATAAATGGCAGTTCAGTTTAAGGACATCGTGTCTACTGACAGCTAGGAGACTAAGTGTAGTTCACAAGGGAGGGTTCAAAGGGTAATACCTACCTATCCTATGCAGGATTCGATTATTGGAAATTTCGTTTGGAATTTTGTTTGCAGAAATCGATCTCCATTCATGTGGGGGATTGTTGGAAATTTTTAAGTATAAAATGTGATTTTTTTTACTAACTTTGGGCACATTTAACTACATGTATATGGTTTAATTTTAATTGACTCTTAGTGGGTTTACGTTCTTCGTTATGAGAGCTTTGAAACCATATATAATGTGTCCAAAACCGAGTATGTGTGAATGAGATATCGAGGCTCAAAGTTGGGTACTTGGGATGAGTTTAGCAAAACCAAATGGGTGTGTGGGAGGTATCCCACATAGGTGGGGTGATTGAAGTTTTCATGGTTTATAACCATGGACTTCACAAAGGCTTTCAAGCTATTATGCAATGTTATGCTCCAACACCTATGCGCGCGCGCGGGGGTGCGGATTGTGGATTTCCTAGGCTAAATCCGCCGAACTCATGTGTGGGCGCGACCTGCGGACACGAAATCACGAGCTCGCGCAACCCGGTTTTTGCTGAAATTTTATCTGGTTACCTGGTCTGTTTTTCAAATTTAATTCAGTTTTAGTAACTGAATCATTTTTAATGAGAATTTAATTGCGCATTTAATACATTAATTCCCCATTAAAATGATGATACGTTTACAGCCTATAAACAGATCAAATTCTCATTTTGAAAATAT